CAGCTGTTTAATTTTATAATTCGTTAAATATATATAAGGAAATGAAATTATTTATATAAAGAAACCTACTCTGAGTGACCGTTTTCTGACATCTTTACAGATTTACAGATCAGAAAAATTCAAAAGAAAAGCTGTCATTTGGATAGGTCAAGTCTTTGTACCTACCTGCGAAAATGATATCTCAATTAAATGTTGGTAACTAATTGGAATACGATTAAAACTCAAAAAAAATAAGGAATAGATGTTCTCATAATGATACACCATTTTGATGCAAAGCTTGTGTATCCCATATTATAAGTCTACTTATATCTTATAAAATACGGATATATCTTAGCCAATTGTCGGTTGGCATTAGGGAGATAGCAGACGATCTCAACAACTCTTATGGATTGACCCAACACAATTAGGTTAGTGTTTTGGGTATGAAGCATGTCAATGCTAGACTCTGACCTGAATCTTTTGCAAAAACGACAAGTAGAGTTTGCAAAAGGGATGATATGAAATGTAGCTGAAGGCCCTACATTTATCAAACGCATCATGACTGGTGACGAGTTGTGGGCTTATGAATTTCGAAACTGTCCAACAATCTAGCGCTAGATCTAGAATGGCGCTTCAAAACTGAAATCGAATAAAAACTAAATTCGCTGAAGGCACTGACGGCCATCCCAGCCCAGGCTTATAATTGTATGGAAATTTAGATTAAGCGTTGGCTCCATACAATATAGAATGATTTGTCGTTTTCAGCGAAAGGGAAATAGCTGGGCGCTTTCAATAGCAACAAAAGAAATTATAATTAGTAATTAGTAGTTTTTTTCCAACAAGAATAACTCTATTTAAAAAAATATTATTTAAGAAAACTAATTATTCTTAGTCACTTTTCATTTTCTTCTCGCTTATGCGCACTCATGCCTGACTTAAAATTATGCACGAATTCTTATGAGCGAACCTTAACCTGGTTTCAAATACAGTGATAAACCAAAAACACAAAAACAAAAATAATTAAAGTACATTTTCAGTCTTAGTACCCACTTCAAATTGTATAAGTAATTTTTGTAATTAACTGTAAAATAATGCGTGTTAATTCACATTCACATTTATGTGCATCACAACTTGGCTATTTTGCTCACCTTCCTCTTTGCCACTACTAAATTTAATATTTTTAGTTATTGTAATTATGCAAAATTTGATTGGAAAATTAGCTGATTGGCTGGTTGAGTGAATGGCGTAAGTGCTATAGATGCAAAAACAAAAATGCAATATAATTAGATAAAATGTCTGAATGGTCTATCTAATGGAATAACTGTTTAAATGGAAATCGCAGTTATTTTGCAAGAGGTCACTTATCGTTTATTTGCATATACTTAAAAGTGCAATTCTTATAATAAGAAACTTTAGTACCCAATGTTTGCCGGGAGGATGGCTTGAAAATGCAAACGTATAGTGTATAATTGAAAATGATATGGATTTAAGACCTTACAGAAGACTTATGATTCACTTTTTCAAAACTTACATGTAATCTAATTATCATGATGTACAATACTTTGCAAACTTCAATCTGATCCCAGTACATGCCTAATTCAATTAAAATTTCGGCAATCGGTCGAACTGTTCAATCAACACTGCAAAAATTTACATACTTGTATTTCGAAGTTAGAACAGCCAAAATATTTAAAATAACCAGATGTCTTTCGAGTTTCATAAGTAGTTATCACAAACTTAGGTTAAGTTACATTTAGAACACGCTTATGCTCATTCAATACTAGCAATGGTAGGAAAATATCATAGACATAATTGTATTTATAAGAACACAGCACAATAAACGACAAGTACGAGCCTTGTGGCCAAATTTAAGCTTTATGACCAACTTACTGAATAAAAATTATCGATCGATTGAATCGATTATATTTATAGGTTGATCATAGAAAAATCTAGGAATAAATGTAAAATTAGAACTTGCAATAGAATATTTTTGTTAGCTTTATACATAATTGTTTGGCATCAACCTTTGGTCTGAAAAGCCTTCTTACATTAAAAGTGTTAGCTTCGAATAGTAATTACTGACAATACTGAAGTTGTAACGTAATCCAACCAAAAATAGTTAAAGTCATTCTTTAATATACGTAATACCCAAAAACCATTCTTCTCAAAAAAGTCAGAAGAACCAAAAGCGACTAATAAACTGATTTATCAAAGTATTAACTTAAAACATAGTTAGTTTAATAGTAAGCATGAAACAATAAGATTAGGAACTAATGATAGCATTATTTATACTACTATTGTATATATATTAGTACACGCTGACTAAAACAGCAAAAGGTTATCAACCGAAAAACAAAATCCACTCCCTGAAAACAAGAGAGTTATTTTTTTCAATAGTAGAGATTGGTTGGCGGAAAACATACAGGTTTTATTGTCATGAAATTTACATAATCTTGGTTTCATACTGAAAATCCACATGTAAATATATATCCATAGATGATCACACCATACCATACCAAAAACAAGATAATAGTAAAAGAAAAATAATTTTGAATGTAGACGGTTGATTAACCAAAATATGGTAGACAATTCCAGGGATGCAAACCGGCTCTGTTTGAACCGAACCACGAACCAAACCTCTATTGTTTTACCGAACCGGAAACGAATCAAAAAATGGTTCGGTTCGGTTCAAAATGAAAATCTCTAATAAGCATTTTCTACACACGACGTGCTTAGAAATGTAACCCTTATAATACCACAAATTTGCTTGAATGCAACGCCATGAGATGTCATTTTACACTGTATTTTCAAAAAATCGCGTCTGTGTTCTCAGAAGTAATTACTTTGTAAATATTTTTGAAATGAGTGTGAATCCGGTATACAAGTGAGTCAATACATTGCAAATTTGAAATGAAAGGAAAACATAAAGCAAATATGGCGAGAGACATACAAAGAAAGCAAGCCGATATTTCAAAGAAGTTTCAGTTGGCGGAATTTCGAAGAAGGAATTCCAGAAGCACTCTACTATAAAATTGCTTTCATTGACAGTCTACATTTTGTTATGCTACATATGTTTGTGTATATTATAATAATTATTGGTATCTTCTTTGTAAACAGCGCTGAAAAGTTTTAATAAATATTTTACACGAATTTGATCTCAATTACGTATGGGTTATTTCGGGGGATTCTTGAACCGGTATAAGTATTTTCTGAGTGGTTCGAACTACTGAACCGAACCGCATCGATTATTGTACTGGTTTTCAGCCCCAGCAAATTCAAAGAGTAATGAGCGTAAGGGCTAGTGAATTTAGTTAAGAGCTAATGGGCATATATTATACTTGGTTATTGGAGACGATAGTTGACAGCTTAGACGATGATGATTGAAGATTGACTTTTAGTTTTTGAAAATTTAGAGAGTTGCGATTGTTACTAAAAATTGTTTCAAAGCCGTGGAACCCGCTGACCTTTATATGGCAGTATTATTAGTAAATAAACTTACGAAATGTTTTAAAGCTTCGTTATCGTTCGTACTGTACTGTCCTACCTTATATTGATAACTCCATCGAATTGCTTGAACTTAAGCCTAACTATTTATCAGCTTAATAGTATATCAGCTGATGAATTTCAAAAAATCAATTTGTTATCTGTATATTCTTATACAATAAATCGATTGTCCATATATTTAGAAATATTCTCCGAAACTTTGATTCTCCGAAGAGTTGATTCTTTAAATAGTTTTGGAGATATGAGCGCATTTGTAAGAATTCTTTAACATAGATGGACTTTAACATAACAACAGACACCTCTTTTCGGAGGCTTCTCTAGAGATTGGCAACGGGATTAAACGAATCGAAATCTGTAAACGTATATTTTTATTTATTTATTAATCAAATAAAATTTCTCTTAAACACCAGAAAAAAAAAATTACGAAAAAAGGCCATTTTTCTGACTTGCAAGTGGATATAACCCTTTGATGTAACTTATTGATCCCGATCGCAATAACACTGTAATACTTGTACAATGGATCATGAAAATATCCAAAGACTAAGGTTTCTAAGTTATGGCTTATAGATCATACTTCGATATATTTTTGTTGCAATGTATTGATAATTAGCTCATATCCTATGGATAGATAAAACCCATTTGATATAATCGATTATGTAACAATCAAACTTTATATTATCAGTAAAAGACCTCTTTGTGTCGAATGTTTATTTTTTCATTCTTTCATTAGCAGCTACCCTCCTTTTTGTCAGTCATTAATGTCGTGATATGCATATGAGGCCTGCATGGTAAGTAATATTCGGGTTGGGGTACAAGCATGTGACATACATTATATGTATTTTCCGAAAGTGAGAATATAAATATGTTAAGCGCTAAGCTAAGTGTTCAGACAAATTACCATGCAAGGATATATCGATTTTCGGTTGAATTGAATGGCATAGTAGGTCGGTCATGCATTCAAAAGGATCCCATTTGTGGGTTGGCTTATATAGGCGGCAGAGTATGTAATTATTTGCTTAAATATATAGTATGTAAGTATGATACAATCATTATTAGGATTACGACGTACTTAAATAATAGTTATTTATTTTTCAACAAAACATAGAGGCATAAAACGCTACTGCGACTATTTCTGGGTAAAGTCGTTATTAGTGCAATTAATCTGCAGATATTTCGGTGTATTGTCTGAAAGAATTGATATTGATAGTCCTAATTTTGACTCTCCCAAACTACTTTTGGTTAGCTTTGCTTATTTAAAAAGCAAATTATATGTCAGCGAAACCATTGATGAGTTGAAGGCACTTGTGCCGACACCATCGCTTATATCGCCGGTGTTATTTGAAAATGTATAAACATATAAGATGTTATAACTTTTTTCCAAAAAATTTTCTAACTGCAAGATGTATGCAACATACACGGTTAATGTATCAATTTATTGTACCAAACAGGTGGCAATGCTTTTAAAATATTATGTTCCACAAATTGACACCCATATTGTAAGGTTTTTTATTTTATTAATTTTTGTTTACCGAAAATTTCCGAAACCTTCTAACATTTTTTTTACACTAAGGAAGTATTAAAGTCCGCTGAACAATTAAAAAAAAATTTCGAATCGTCTCAGCCATAATTATGTTGGTGCTATTTAACAAGAATATTATAGAGAGTGATAAAAAACCTCCTAAAATCAACAATACTTCGAGAAAGAATTCTCAACAAATTGGATCTTAGCAACTACACCGTTGCCTTTCTACACTTCAAATAATGATATAATTACTGAGATCTCAAAGTAGGTTAAAAACACAGCAAACTGTTGAGGATCTAGCGCAGATAAAATTGTTCGCAATAGATCAACAAAACATGGCTAACTATGGAGAGATAAGGGTAATGATTTATCTACATTTTACTCAGTAGAAATTAAATACAACTTCATTTAATTTCGTTAGTATCAGTAGAAGCTGGTGGATTTGGAGCACTCAACGTTGATATCAAAAGGCCATGTGTTTACACATACTTTATACAAACACACATTAATTCTTTTTTGTTTAAATGCAAACGAAAGCTGTTCAGAAGAATAAATAGTATAAATATTTCTAAAATTAGCATATATGCTCAGGTGGTCAGCCAATTGTTTATCTAAAGCAAAGAAATACTAAATAATTCCCGTTAATTTGATTTCTGATTTTCTGTTTGTAAAGCAAAAACAAAAGCCGGTTTGTTGTGTATTAGTATATCTACTAAAGTAAAATTTAGTATGCTAATTAAAAATAATACGTAATTTAAGAAATTCAAGTTCTATGTTAGTGCAGCTTGGCAACTACATCGACAAAGAAATTAATAAAACTGGAGGTAAACAACAAGCTCTCGTGTGAGTAATAACAATAATTTTAAAAGAAAAATGAAGAACGAGTCTAATAAAACAGTTATGTGAAAAGTGCGATATTTTTTAACCTTGGTTATGCGGTTCTTTAAAAGCAGTAATCGATCACCAACTCAGTATGTGTTTCCATATACTTCCATGTACTCTCCGTGAAACGAGATCGAAGTGCAGAGATTTATTTTGTGTGAGAAAACGATGATATTCATTTACATAAATTACAAAGTTTTCATATTACTCAAAAGGAAATAAAATTCGAATTTCTATTTGTTACGTCACTGGTCCTCAGACTAACCAAAAATTTGTGGAATGATGGAAATAAGTCAGTTAATGTTTAAACGTTGTTTTTTTTGTTTGTAATGTACCACTCTACAAATCTTTTCAAAAGACCATTAAATTCACGTTTGATTATCTAAAACAACGTATGTACGCACTGAATTTTCAGACCAATATATTTTTGAGAGATCATCGCTGTGAGATCAAGTTAATCGTCTCAACTGAATCATGTGAATGTCTCAGACCTTCCGAGACCAAAAATTTCTTGTAAGAAACATCATGTATTCGAAATATGGATAAAAGAACTGAGGAGTTAGAGATCTGTATATATGCCGGTGTTGAAACTCAATTTTCTTGATATTGGATCATTCTTTTTCGCAGCAACAGAATTTTTTAACAGTAAACAAGTCACATATTTAAATTTTTCTCACTCTTTATAAGTTCATTTTATTCAATACAGTTCAGAGCTAGAACGTTAGATATATTGCGACACACAGCATAACAAATAAAAGGAGCTTTCCAACTTCAAACAAAGCCAACTCAAGACCAAATTATCTAATTTTTCTGCCAAACGCATTGTAAAGGAAGAAAGGAGACAAAATTGTAGTAAGTTCTGTGTTCTGGCAATAATCCATGCCGAATTGCGTGAAGGTACCTCGACAAATAAAAAATATTTCCATACAGGAATTGAGTTCGATCAATCAGTTTGTATGGCAGTTATATCCTATAGCTGTCCGATATCGACGGTTCCGACAAATGAGCACCTTCTTCAAAAACTGACAGACTAGGTGGCATAAACGAGTGTACAGGGACACAGTCAAAGGGCCGACTCAGCTCATCACGCTGTTTATTGATATAAATGCTTTATAGGGTCTTTCATGTTTACTTTTGGGTGTTACAAACTTCGTGGCAAACTTAATTAATTCCGTAAGCCGGTCACAGTACGAAGTCGATATACAAGAGAAAATTTTTTTATTGCCATTTATATTTTTATTTGATTTGGGGATTTTCTATTACATCTTTGGTCTATTAAAAACCAATTATTTTGGTTTAGTTAAACAGGGATCCAACCTATACTTCCATTTTTGTCTTCTCTATTTCTCTCACTAAAAGCTTCTGTTAAAATTTTATAGTGCTCCTTTTTTATTATTGGCGATGAAGGAACTCGAGCAAAACATTTGCTTTTGTAAAAGTAAAGTCTAAACATTTTCAAAATTTCCAAAAAAAAAATAAAAATAAAAAATCAGAGAACTGCGGCATATCTGATGTTTTACCGTTTTTTATTTAATTCACTACCATACTCTTCCAGCGTGATAGCATTTGTGTCAACAGAAAAGGGTTTTTCGATCCTCAACTTCCAAAATAAACACAACAAATTCACAATACCTTTGCTTTGTTATTGTTTTTCACTGCAGCTGCTTTTAAGCACTTTCCCGCCACTAAATCGGTGGATGTTGCAATGGGGATATGCTTTTGTTGCACTATTAAACTGTACTAAAATAAATCACTGCCGAAAATCCGGTTGCACTGAATTTTTGACCATCCAATAATCTTTTTCAAAACGTTTTTTATTTAACTTTTTTCCTAAGCACCACTAAAATATAGCACAAAATCCTTAAAAATTACTTATTCTATGAATTTGCGCCACAAACCTCAACACACACACGTAAGTATAGCCACTGCACGCGCACGTCAATCTGGTGGGTATCAACCGCGCAATCGAGCGTTCAACAACTGAACGTGTTCAATGAATGAGTGCGACTGTTGTTGCAATGAACTGCTGCTGCTGCTCAAGCCGAACGAGAACTCACAGCATGAAAGCGACGGCGGCGGCGGCATCACCAGAAGAAGTTATTAAAGCTAACAACAACAGGCCACGATGGTGGTTAGGCCAATGCTAATATTTTTTGCTCACTTGTGTGTGCTTATGAGCTTGTGTCGGTGTGTGCTTCAGCCGAAAGCAAAGAGGTATGCGCGAAAACCCATTGCTGGGCCGTCGACCATGCTACAATGTCAGCATTCTCATTCACACGACTACGACTGGTTTGGGGCCGGTCTTCGTGGCAGCTAAGAGTTCACGATGCCGGTAGAGGTTAAGTGTTAACCCGTTGTGGGCACATGGCATTAAGACACAATACATATTTTTAGTTTGAGTGTATGACATTGATGCCAGTATAATATATGGAAATACATAACAGTTATAGTTATATGTAGATATTAAGTATAGAATCTGTTAGCACCGAATAGTCGTTAGAAATTGAAGAGCGTAAAAAATTATACGTATAAACATATGTATGCATTTTAAGTAAGGAAGTTCGCCTATATATACATTGACACTTTAATATAATACTTGTATATATCCTCTATATATTTGCCACAGTCATATCGTAAGGGATATTAAGAGCTAATTTTATTTATTTTTGTTACCCAGCCTCTCTATTTTAAGTGTATGCCATTGAAATATATCACTAATTGGCTAAATTTTCTAGTTTGAAATTAATATCCTTTGGAATATATTTGGTGTTATGAAGGATATCATGCTTGAGTACTTGCCAAAATGAGTTCTCATTGGTAGCTATGTTGATTGAGACCGATTGGTCAAGTCATGGGAGGAGCTTCAGTTCCCAGCCAAAAGTGGCATCTATAACTCTTACTCATATTTATCGCATTTCAAAACTTTTCAGACTATCGTTTAACGGAAATTGGTTGTGATTTCTATTGGATTTTGTCCACTTAACATTATGGTGAGGATTTATTGAGCTCAAGTGAGCGGTATACATATATAGATTCTTTTATTTGAAGAAAACGATAAATCGGAGATCGAAAATAGAAGAGTTTAAATATATTTATATAGTTATATAGTTTAGGCTGATACTTGTCCATTAATATATTGCGAAAATCTTTATAGACACGAAAAATTATTGCAAAATTTTTTCAAAACATTACGTCGTTTTTTAAGCTTATTTTTCAAATCTTAATTGAAGTTAATTATGTATAGAGCTTCAGTGACCTCATGTTCAAATAAACTTTTTTTCTGCTTTTCGTTCCAGTCTATAGGCATAGTTCTGTTGGGGTGATGCCAAGGGTTTATATCAATCACTGGGTAAACTAGAAAAATGCTAGTTCGGATCTATTGGTGGTTGAACCAACTATAGAAAAGAATAAAGCTTATGCTTATTTTTGCTGAAGTTATTTTATAAAGTTTTCTTATATGGGGCGTCGACAATTGGTTTTATTGAATAGAAGTATTCTTAAATCGATATTTTCACTTATAATTTATTTTCAGGTAAAAGTGAAATCAAGTTAAATGACAGAAAAATATTATTACCATTGTGTCCATACTTTTACTTTTTTTTTATTAAATTACATACTATAATTAAAAATAATGTTTGAAATAGGCTTTCGTACTTTGAAGTCAAATATTTCAGTTCGAAAAACGGAGAAATTACTTGGTTTACTTATGACTCAATCTCTCGAAGAAAATTGGCTTGGTCTAACACCCAGAAAAAAAGTCGGTTTTGCTGTATAGTGTTATATATATATCATTAAAAAATTTACCAAAACTTGTTATCGAATAGTTAAGAAAAGAGTGTCGCTCAATGGGTTAACCGCAACGCCAACATTAGAATATCGGTAGAAACCAGTAGTTGAGACAATTGCGCTGTGTATATTGGTAGTGTGCAAGTTTAGTTGGTAATAGAGCTAAAAGTTTAGCAAAACGACGTCAAACATGTTCGACGCTTCAAGTTGCAAGAGGCTCGTGCGCTGTCAGCGTGTAAAACCGCCACCCGTAAGCAATACCAAACGCACATGAACAAGATTTTTTCGCTTATGTAGTATGTACACATACAATATAAGGTTATGTACTTTTCTTTATGTATGAATGTGTATGTAGAATATTTAGTGAGTCTGAAGCAGCAATTAGAGAAGATAAGTTTAAGAAAAAGCTTTTTTTTCCACTACATATTTGGCAATTTCAAAAAAGCAAAAAAAAATTAGATGAGATAAGAGTTGTTATATATTGTACATATGTATGTAAATTTATACATACATAGTATATATGTATATTCAAAACTATGCTTTAGTTGTGTTCCTTTGCTCAACTGTGAAAGTACAAGTACTTGCCAGGTGAAGTTAGATGTTACCGTTGCAATCTCGATATTCGTACGTGCATGTAAACATGTGTATTCTTGTGTGGAAAAGTAGTATAAATAATTCTGAAATACTTTTTTGCTTTATTTTTAAAATATTTTTCATAACTTTTCGACACAGATCAGTCACAACTTTATATTTTTCTATTTCTGTACACATATATAATATCATCTTATAAAATTTGACCCGGTTCTTTTAAATTGTGCACAAACCGAATCGATAAAATTTTTTTCTTAGATTGGTTTAACTTCTTTATATTTGAGAGTAGTTCGACCTCTATTTGTCAAACATGTGTATTTGGCAGCTGTGTTTACGACGCGAAAGATTTGTTTGGCGATTTTTACAACAAGTTTGATTGAAAGGTTGTGTTTCCAGATGAATCACGGCTACGGAACCGTTGAAAGTGTTCCAGAAGTATTTTAGCGTGTCTACTTTGGCAAGAAGATAAGGATTTGAGTGGCATTTGGTGAAGCTCGGGAAAACTTGCGAGTCGTTCATCCACCTCTGTTAAGCAGGATAGCATCTAAAAGGTAAAAAAACAGTTTGAAAATTATCGTGTTGGCATCAGAGAGATAGCAAAAGATCTCAAAATCCCTTAGGGATCGCCTCAATACATTGATTACTGTTAGCTGATTACGTGATTCGTAAACGCATCATTACTGGTGCGAGACATGGGATGAGTTTGAAGTCGAAACTGTCCAACAATCTAGCGAATGGCGCTCCATAAATGAGCCGAAACCGAAAAAAACCAAAATTTGCTGAAGGCACTGAAGGTCTTTCCAGGCGAAGCGTACGACAAGTGTATGGTAAAATGGTAAAGCGTAGACATGCTCGTAATGGCTCAAGAGCCCCTTTATAAAGCGAGATTAAAAATATATGAAAATATAGTTTATTTTGTTAGTCCGGGTCATTAATGATCAGATTCTACATACACGCTGTACACACATTATTTTATATGCATATATGACTCATTTTGTTTATAAGAGCAACTTGTTTGTTTATTTCATGAACTAAATATATTCAAGAAAAAAATTTCTAGTGTTTTTAGGAGGTGGCAAGCACATGGAATATGTTATAATTCGTAGACTGTACACACATACATACATACTCGTATGCACGTAGATAAACAAGCATACCTGTAACCATTCAGTATACGAGAATCTTAGCATCTCTGGGGATCCACCTGTTAATGACATATTTTTTAGCGGTTTATTGGTTTGGGTTTTTCCTCTGCTTGCCCGCCAACATGTATTGCTCATTAGAATAATTATTACATACGCACATACATCAACATATGCATATCAGTTACATGTAACCGATCAGCTGTTTGTGGTATTTGCATCGGTTAAGTGCACTTATACACATACATACATACAAAATTCTAATGAATCTTATTTTTGCTACCGTTATATGGAAGAGAGTGATTTTGCTCAAAAATATGTGTATGCATATTTAAGTAAATGGCACGGGAAGACACACGCATACTTGTAAAGTCGGTCTATTAGAAATTAAAGGTCTAAGCAAATTTCGTTAATTTTATAATAGACCAATTTAACTCTCTTACTTTTTTCGGAGACCAGCTCAAATACAGGAGTATATGGCTAGAGAAGTCTTTGACGCTTAGTTGTTCTGTGTATGCAATGGGAAAGACTGTCTCCGGATTAGATTCATAAGCAGACAATAATTGGATGAAGTGGAGTGTTAGAGATTTTCACAACGCCTGTAATAAACGGTACACTAGTGCATATTGATAGCATAGCATCGGAGAAGTTTCAAAGTGTTGATCGAACTATTTTCGACAACGTGACAGAGATTTGCATTATACAGAAGATAGTTCACCATCACCTGCAATTGGACGGATTGAACCAAATTAATAGTGCTACTGGAACAAACAAATAACTCAGAAAACACATTTTCTGTAAGAGTACTTAAAACAGGAACCAAGTTTTTAAGGTATGTTATTACGGATGTTTCCAAAGGCTGGAGAGAAAGATGCATATGAAGAGGATACAATTTAGTGAATTGCGCAAAGCCAAACTTAAACTTTACTCAGCTAACAGGCATATGTTTTATTTGAATAGTTCAGTCTTCAGTCTATCGATCACTGCCTATTGTTTTTAAAGTGATAATAGGCCACTTATAAACTACTTAGGGAGAGGAGAATTTTGGGGATAATTATCTTTTGTCCAACTTTTTAAAAAATGAGTATTTGTTGGTGTTTATTCCGCTTTGGATTTAAATGTTCTCGTCGTTTTCGCCATCGATAGGACCAGGAAAAGATCTGTGTGGGTCGAATCGTCTGTTGGTAGTATGTCGGGGTATTTATGGAAAAATAGGTGTTTTAATTGCTAAATAACTAGCCTTAGATTGTGCGTGGTTCTCTTAGGTTTCATAAGTATCCTTGAGCCATCCCTACATTATCGATTTGACTCATAGGATATCTTTTATCAGAAGAGATTAAAGTAATTCTTCTTTTATCAGAAGAGATTAAAGTAATTCTACTAGTAATACTCTCTGTTGAAAACCTGGACGATTGGTGGTGGATCTTAAAACTTTGCAAACATCGTTGGTTAGTATATTACCTGGAATTATGACACACCCTGTATATTTTCATATTATAAATATAGCCCAAATCAGTTTTAAGTTAATCGTGCCTTTTGAACTTTCTACATACTACTTACTACTTCTCTGTAAAAATAAATACTCGTATACATACGTAGTCACGCATACAAATTCTGCTCCGTTTAGAGCAGATCCTCTTTGGCCATGCGATATGTGTAGACTATAACTTGCGAATTTCTTATCGCTTAAAGCTCACACCACTTACTATTGGATATAATGAGTATAATTGACAATATCCTCAAGTAAATAAGCGACA